CACTCCTCCCCATCCCTGGGGTCAGAGCTATTGCCAGCTACTCAAGCTATTTCCTTCGGCTTATTCCTGTTCTGAGGGATTTCGGCTCCCTAGACCACATCACCCGTTTTGTATTGCATTTTACCTTTTTGTTATATTACTTTAGTCAAACCATTAAATATATATATGTAACAATTTAACCTTTAACGTTGAGATGCCGGAATACTTATCCTGCTAACACAGATACTCATTTGACAGTCCACTGCCATCATCTGTTGCATTTGTTTTTCTTTTTACATGCTGTGTTTAAATACACTCCTCTTTTTCTCCTGTTGCACTTATCTAATTTTTTTTGCTTCCTCTCTACAAACTCTTCCTATACCGGTTTAATATCTAAGTGAGCTTATTTCCTACATGGCAGCTGAGAAGTGCACTTATGATTCTCGCCCCACTCGCGTTTGCTACTCAGTATCTGTTTGCAGCTAAGAGATGAAACATACACTGCATATAGATTTGTTCTTCCCCTACATTTTCAAATTCAGACGCTGCTGATCTTTTACCTCATCACTGGTGACACGTACCTCGAGTAATCGTTGAAAGCATAGCGGTGCATTCTGGTTCGCCTTAATCTGCATTAAGTTACAGTTCATTCAAGTCGACCGATGTCGAAAGCGGTTCTACTTGGTGATAAATTCCCGGACTTCGAAGCTGAGACGAACGAAGGCAAAATCGCGAGCTTCCACGAATGGATCGGGAAAGAGTACGTGTTTTTGTTATTTTTCATAGTGCTTCCAAGCCGCTTAATTTACCGAAAAATCTTATTTTCATAATCTCCTTACCATCTTTGTCTCCCTTGTCTTTTCACCTTTCTCGGCTCTACGATGACCTCTTAACATGCAGTAATCATGGAAGAAATATAGTCATCTATTTTTATGCGTTTTTGCCGTGCAGCGCTCATATTGCAACGACCCTGTCAGTGTGTGTGTGTGTGTGTGTGTGTGTGTGTATGTGTATGTATGTATGTGTCCGGGTATTTCAACTCGCCAACTACACAAGCTCTGAAGCTGAAATTTTGTCAGTGTATTCCTCAGTCAAGTGCCACCCCAGGACCGCGGTATCAACTCTCACGCACGTCTGGGCCCTGCGTACGAATAAGTGAAAGTTTTGGCGGGAAAACTGAGAACTGGGGAACGAGAGAAGCTAAAAGCTGAAACCTTAGGAGAATGTTTTTGCATGACAAAAATTTCAATTCAGCTGCCCAGAAATGCCCGGGGCTTACGTACGGGCGCGTGAAAATTATGGTGGGAAAACTGGTAACTCGAGAATGAGGAAAGCTAAAAACTTGGTACTTCAGGGGAATGCTTCCTACCCATGTACGACCCAACTCAAGTATTTAGAAGCGCCCGGGACCCACATGCAGGCACGTGGAAATTTTGGCGCAAAAACCACTAGCGCGGGAACGAAAAAACTGGAAAGCTGAAATTTTACGGAAATGTCCTCTATTCATGTACAACCAAAATTAGTTGTTTGGGTGCGCCTGAGATCCACGTACGTCACATGTGAAAGTTTTGGCGCGAAAATTACTAACCCGGGAACAGGAGGAGCTAGAAAGCTGAAACATTAAGGGAGTACTTCCTACTCATGTACGAGCAAAATCAGATGTTTAGAAGCACCCGAGCCCACGTACGAGCTCGTGGAAATTTCGGCGCGAAAATTACTAACCCAGGAACGGGAAGAGCTAGAAAGCTGAAACTTTAGGGTAATGTTTCCTACTCGTATATGACCAAAAGATTTCAAATTCAGCTCCTTAAAACCGTCCGGTACTCACGTACGAACACGTGTTCTGGCGGAAGAATTGTCCTGAGAACCATGAAAGCAAGGAGCTGTAATTCAACGATGTTTCCTCCCCTCGTACAACCCTGTAAATTTAAAATCAGTTTTCAGCCATGCCTGGGTTCCACTTGCGTTCCCATAAAAGTTTCAGTGGGAAAAATTATAATTTTGAAGCATAAAAGTAACTGAAATTTTGGGAGTATGGGACCTCGCAGTATCCAATGTAGCTTTCATGTGCACCTGGGTCTCTTGTATGGTCCTGCAAAAGTTTTTTTTTTTCTGGCGAGGGGAATATTTCTTGGGAACTGAGGCTGGAATTTCAGGGGATGCCTTTCTGCCTGTGCAAACGCCCCACAGGCTCAAATTCAAATTTAATACCTCAAATACTCAAGTTACAGGTTCAGGTACCATCGTCAACTACTTGATCTTTTCCACAGGTAGCAATGCTCGCATCGCTCCACTTTAGTGCAAGATCGATCTTTTCACCTTCCCTATCATTAAATACTCCTCTTCGCAGCAGTTTACACCCCTATGTCCACAACAGTATTGTCTAAAGTCAGCTCAATAGATACTTAGTTATCGAATCCGCTTATCAAGGGTTTATCACGTCCGCTCGTCGTCTTCTCCCCCACTACTCGCATGAAGGATTTTCTTCTTACAACATTAATCGTCTAATTAACACATTTGTACGCAGAAATACATACCAGCTTTCTAAGTATTCCCCTCCTACGGTGGCCCTGTGTCAACATCTGATACACTTTCTTCTACAATAACTGTACCACCCAACATGCACATATACGTCGCGTTGTTAATGTTCCGTTCATATTGCTGCTTCTTCCTCTCGATACTTTTCCACTTTTTAATCATTTTCAACTGTTCTAAATTTGATATGATTAAAAAATCTTCCCTTTCCTATTTTCTTCTCTTCTTTCTTCCTGCCTGTCATTCCCTCTTCTTTTTTTCTCATCTCTAAACACCGCGACTGTCATACTGACGAGGTCCAGCTGCGGTGTTGAGCCAAGACGTATATGACTTAATGGACCGAAACTTCTTAACTCTTTCGTACTTATTTTTCCTACACTAGCTATATTTCTACATCCATCAATACATAGTTCGTTCTATTCCTGCCCTATTTAAGTTCTTAATATTATTTGTATGTTACAGTCATGCTACAATCGGCTTAGTATGCCAAGGTCTTACGACCAAGTGAGAGTTTTAATGCGAAAGACACTAGCTCGGAAGTCGGAAAACTGGGTGGTTGAAATTTGGGAGGTTGTTCCCCATCCAAGGTTTCATTTGCTGTTTTTATATACTGGCACTTTAAATTTTTGGCATGAAATTAGTCAGTTTAGAAGCTAGACAGCATATCGACCGCGGCAAAAACCGGGGACATGCTTCCTTCCCATTCACCACCCCTCTTCCCTTCCACCTTACGTGACCTAGACAACCGCCAAAGGTTCCACGCAACGTATCCCCTCAAGCACCCTCTTACCAACCCCCTCCTCCTGCCTCCAATCCTGCTCCCGGGGCCTGCACACAACGTCCTCCTCCTTCCCCTCCTCCATCCTCTTTGCGATCATCCAGCATCATTTGCCGCAGCGTGGTTAGGTTATTTAGTTCCTGGCTGGAATACCGGGCCTGTTGATAGAAATATTGTAAATTTCAGCAGCTGGACCATCTTCTTCTCGCATCCACGTGATTTCACGCCAGTATGCACAACGGAGCTCGCTAGACTTATCCAGCTATCACCGGAGTTCCAAAAGCGCCATGTAAAGTTGATCGGGCTCAGCTGCGATTCGGCACAGTCTCATCGCGAATGGGCCGACGACATCATTGCCTATTGCAAGATCCTCGGCGGTGCTGGCCATAAGTGCTGCTCAGGTAACTTAAATTTAGCATGTCATGTTTTTGTCTGTGATCTACACAGTTGAAAGACAAATGTATCGCATTGGGAGATCATATTTTAGGGAACTTGGGCTTCTGATGTCTCGGGATCTAGTCCGAGATTCAATACAACCCACTAATCTTTCGAAGTTTATGCCACTGCTCCCAGTAATAATTCCAGCTGGATAACATTCATTCAAAGTCAGTTGTTACAAAAGCCAAACTATCTGCAACTCTGTTTGCTTTCAGACATTCTGAGGCTTAAATTTATTCCTTTTTGCTTCTTGTGGTTTTCGCTTCGTCTGAGAGTAGTTGCTGAACACCGCAAATCGGAGAAAATTGAGAAACGAGGGGAATGAGAGACGCGAGGGAAAAGGGGAATTCGCTAGGGTTTAGTTTTGGAACAAAGAACGATTGTTTTTTACGTCTATTTTTGGTATAAAATATCAAATTTAGAAAATAAGTTGCCGTTTCCCATAATAGCGGATGAAGACCGTTCGCTAGCCACCAAGTTGGGTATGTTGGACCCAGAGGAGCGCGACGACAAAGGGGCACTCACTGCACGCGCGGTCAGTTTACAGCGTTTTCTTTTTTACGTGTGAATTATCTGAGATTGAAAAATTTGTTTGATTCGTGATTTACAAAGGAAGGTTTGTTCCCAATATTTACGTGGCACGTTATTAAGTATAGTATTGAATTAACGCTGGTGATTTTTTTTTTGTTTTGTTAAATGTGGGATATACGGTTCAGCTGCATTCTAACTATGAGCATTATATCACTTGCTGGTCAGCCTGCTGACAGTCTTCAGATTCGTTTCATCTCCCGAATAGATAACCCATTCAGCGATTCTCCTGAGACCACTTTGCAAGGCCTTGACGATTTTGGAACGTCTTTCAATGTACTGTGTCTGAATGTTTTGAACACTATCCCCGACTCGTCCTGAAAGTTGTTATTGCTAGATCATAATAAGATAGCTTAATTGTCAGGGGATTACCTGCTAGAAGATATTTGATCGTCCAGGGACTTGATTTTTTATTTAATGGATAGGAATTGAAATATCTTTGTTCAGCTGTTGTTTCATCTTCCGGTTCTGCTAGCAGTTGATAAAACAGCTGGTGTAATTCTTCTGTGTTCCATCATTCTACAAAGGTCTTTAAATAAGTACTTTCTTCGCACCAACTATTTTTCAGTGCTTGTTTAAAATTGCATGCCTGTCCTATAATCGATTCTTTCTGTTTTTTTTCTCTCATTCTGAACTAGGAACAAAATTCATTCTGATGCACACTAGTCGCACTCTCAGCTAGATTTTTATGCGTTTTTTGCATCTATACATTGCAGAAAACACATATGACGAGGGGTTGTCTGTGTGTCCATGTGTTTGCATGTCTGCGTGTCTGTATGTCTGTGTGTGCGCCTGTACCGATTTTTCATCTCAAGAGCTACAGGGCTGAAATTTTGGGAACTTAATCTACATGCATGTACGAGCCCCAGGCTCCTACTCGTGTGGAACCCACGTGCGGGCCCGCGAAAGTTTTTTTCGAGTTAGTTGCTAACTCGGGAGCCAGAAAAGCTAGAAAGCTGAAATTTTAAGGGGTTGTTTCCTAACAGTCCTGACGGCCAGTCTTAATTTGTTTAGCTAAAAGAATTTGCCAGAAAAACCGGTTTCGGTAGCGGCAGCGGGAAACTATGCAAAAAACGCATCTTCGCACCGGCGGCCGGTGCGTTAGCCACTTATTATGTTAAACTATGGTACGAAGAAGTAGGATAAAACTATTTTCCAATTTTTTGGCAATTACAAAAACTCGGCTTGGCTCGTCTCATACTCGAGCCGCAAAAAGTTTTTTCCCCTGGTGGTAGGTAGGGCTGTCCCACGGCAGATGGCGGCAGTTGAATGTGGCAGGTGGAAGTGGGGGTAGTATGTGGTTGGTTTCGTTCGAGGTAAGGGAGGCGGGCTAGGATAGGTGGATGTAAGGACTAAATGGCGTAGATCCTTTGCCGATTGACTAAGTAACGTACATTTGAGGAGGGAGGAAAGCGGTGAAGAACGGAAAGTATGAGAAAATGTGCTCCTGGGACTTCCCTTTTTATGAAACTGATGCTTAGGTAAAGCTGTTCCGCAAAAACCCGTCATTAGGTTTCTTTATTTATGAAATTGATGCTTAGATAAAGTTGTTCCGCAAAAAGCCGT